GGCCAGGTTGGCACAATAAACTAACTACCTCAGTTCTGTTGAGTTGATTCCAACTCATAGTAACCTTATGTACAAGAGAACAAAACACTGCCAGGTCCTGCATCGTCCTCACCAATGTTCTTATGTTTGAGCCCATTGTGAGTCAACTCACCATGTCCAGGGTCTTCTTTTTTGCTGCCCTTTTGATTTACCAACCCTGATGTCCTTTTCCAGAAATTGGTCTCTCCTAATACCATGTCCAAAGCACGTGAGACAAACATCTCTAGCCTCACGTCTAAGGAGCATTCTGTCTGTACTTCTTCCAAGATAGACCTGTTTGTTTTCTTGGCAATCCACAATACTTTCAATAGTCTTCACCAGCACCATAATTCAGATGCATTCATTCTCCTTTGGTCTTCCTTATTCAATGTCCAACACATGCATGAAAAGTTATTTAAAAAACATGGTGTGAATCAGGCGCACCATAGTTCTCAAGGTGCCATCCTTGCTCTTAGGGAGGGCTTGGACAGCAGGTTTACCCAATGCAATGTGTCATTCGATCTTGACTACTGCTTCCGTGAGCATTGGCTGTGGATCCAAGCAATATGAAATCTTTTATTTGTTTATCATGATGTTACCTATTGGTCCCGCTGTGAAGATTTTTGTTTTCTTTAAATTGCATTGTAATCCACACTGAAGACTACAGTCCTAGAAAGAGCTACTTGATCATATCTTTATGAATGAACAAGATATTCTATTAAGGCCTCATCCAGTCTATGCAATTGAAATATTTTTGAAAAGTTTTTTCAAGAGAATGAAAGAAAGCTTGGCTTGAATCAAGCATCCCTTTCTCTTACTTGATTTTCAGGCATGAAACCTCAGAGACAAAGACTGTTAAATGTTGAGGCAATTACCCTTGAAGTTGGACTATAGCACTGCCACAGATTAAAGCTATCCATTATCTCCTAATCTTATAATATACCATAAGGGTCAGCTGTGCACATTTCCCCCTAGTTCACTCAATTACATCACATTGGAATCTTGAAACTGGCTCTGTAAAATGGAAAATGCTACCAATATGCACACTTCTTATTTCCTTTCTTTTATTCTTATCTTCTTTCCTTTCTTTGCTTCCTTCTTTTTCTTCCATTTTTTTCCTTCTATAGAGTTCCAGGTAAACATTTGCTAGCTATTAGTTCTCAATCAGACCTGTGTTTTTTTCAGCTGGAAACCTCGAACTGTTTAAAGACAATAACCACACTTTTTGAAAATGTGGACACTGACTGTGAGCTACTACTAATCCCCAAATCTCAATATGGCTTCCCAAGGTGGCATCTGAAGCTGGATAATTATTGAAGAATTCCCCTTACTCTGTCTCAGAAAGTAGATTCAGAATCCAAACTCTCTGCCATTGAGTCAATGGCGACCATATGGGACAGAGTAGTACTCTCCCCTGTGAGTTTATGAGGCTGTAACTGTTACAGGAGTAGAAAGCCTCATTTTTCTACTGAGTAGCAACTGGTGGTTTCAAATTGCTGACTTTGAGAATCACCATTCAACAAGCAACCACTATGCCATCAGGGCTCCTTAGAAAATAGTATGACAAAAATGATATCCTTTTATGATTTCCTAATATCTGGCATGCAAAAGTTGTCAAAGATAATTGACAGCATTCCCACATTGCTGCCATAACCTTTAAATGATGACTGTTAAAAAAAAATGATGACTGTTACGGCAGGATATGTCAAGCAAACTCTTTAAAACATTTTTCTGCCTTCCAAAATATATTTTTTAAGAGCACCAGTGCCTCCCTAGGGGAATCACAGAAATGAATGATGTCACTGATGTTTTAAGGATCAGAAGTTGTCATTTCTATTAAATATTCATATAATGATTGTGTTGGACTACATAGGAGAAAGTGAAATATTGGAGACTGAATATGGATTCAGGTAAAATTAATCAGTTGATGACTCCAAATGCTTCTGGTAATCCAGATTTGATCTCTTCTGGAAGAAATTGACTCAAAATCTGGTAACTACTACAAAATCAGAACAAAAGGTAATCTTGAAAAAACTGTTTTTCTCTTGAAAAAATTTTTCAAAAATATTTCAACTGCATAGACTGGATGAGGCCTTAATAGAATATCTTGTTCATTCATAAAGATATGATCAAGTAGCTCTTTCTAGGACTGTAGTCTTCAGTATGGGTTACAATGCAATGTAAAGAAAACGAAAGTCTTCACAACGGGACCAATAGGTAACATCATGGTAAACAGATAAAGGATTTCACATTGCTTCAATCCACAGCCAATGCTCATGGAAGCAGTAGTCAAGATCTTCTCCAAAAGCAGATAATGTGGGGGCGATTGCTTCCACCCTCTAGGGACAGCTGCACACTTTCATTCCTTCAACACTTCAAATATTATTATAAATTCCCAATATCCTGTAGGAAATATTTCACTGCCGAAAGGGATTCTATTTTGTATGCTGAACCCAAGGTATAAAATTACAGAGCACAAAAGTTGCCCAAGACACACAGTAGTTGCTGCTTGTAATGTATAGATACTAGAAATTGAATCAGGAAATGAGGTCAGTTACAGATTGTATTTCCATAAACAGATACAATGTCATAATTTATGTCTTTGTTGTTTTGAGGTCAATTACTTACCTTACACAATTATTTAAAATTACCTTAAGTCATTACGACTAAGTAGTTCATTACGACTAAGTAGTTCATTACTCCTGATACAAAGGATCTTGTTATATTGAGAACATTTTTCAGTTGAAAAACTTTTTCACGGCTTGTTTTATGTCCTTGTTTCTCAGACTGTAGATAAAGGGGTTCAGCATGGGTGTGACTACAGTGTACATCACTGAGGCGATTGCACTGGCCCTGGAGTTTTGGGTAATGGCAGAACTAAGATATACTCCGAAGCTAGTACCGTAGAACAAGGAAACGACAGAGAGGTGAGACCCACAAGTGGAAAAGGCTTTATACTTGCCACTAGCCGATGAAATTCTCAAGATGGAAGATACAATCTTTGAATAAGAATAAAAGATACCAGTGGGTGGAATAATAACGAGAACTACAGTTGCCAAATACATGACTAAGTCAACGAGGAAGGTGTCAGAACAAGCAAGTTGGACGACCTGATTAAGTTCACAGAAAAAGTGGGGAATGTTCAACTCAGCACAAAAAGATAGTTGCCAAACTATCAAATCATGTAATAGAGAGTCCAGAAAAGCCAATAACCAGCATACCAGAAGCAGGAGGCCACAGAACTTAGGATTCATGATGACAGTATAGTGGAGGGGGTGACAGATGGCCACAAACCGGTCATAGGCCATCACTGTCAAAAGAAAGTTGTCTAATAATCCAAAAAGCATGAAAAAGTACATCTGGCCAAGGCATCCTTCATAGGTTATAGCTTTGCTCTGTATCTGGATGTTCAGCAGCATCTTTGGGACAGTGGTGGAGGTGAAACAGATGTCAGCAAAGGAGAGGTTGGAGAGGAAGAAGTACATGGGTGTGTGGAGGTGGGAGTCAGTGAGAATGACCAGGATAATCAAAAGGTTCCCAATGAAAGTGACCATGTACATGGATAGGAACAGCCCAAAGAGGAGAGGCTGCAGTTCTGCCTCGTCTGAGAGTCCCAGCAGGAAGAATTCTGAAACACGTGTATAGTTTCTTGATTCCATGTAGTGGAAAAAATCTGCAAAAGAAATGAGGGCAATGCACATTTAACCACAAGCAATGCCGACAATATAAAGAAATGCAATTTTTCATGTTATTAATATTGTGGTTAGATGCCATTGACGAGGTTTGATTCATAGCAATCCTATGTACAACAGAACAAAACACTGTGCAGTCCCGACAACATGCCCAAAGCACATGAGATGCAGTCTTCCCATCTTTGCCTCTAGGAGCATTCTGGCTATACTTGTTCTAAAACAGATTTGTTTGGTCTTTCGGTGGTCCGTGGTCCTTTCAATATTCTTTGTCAGTACCATAATTCCAATACATCGATTCTTTTTCAGTCTTCCTTATTCAATGTCCAATATTTATATGCACCTGAGGCAATTGCTTTGTTTACAGCACAAGGAGAGAAAATAGTAACTATCATTTAGAGACCTTCCAAGTCCATTCTCATCCAGGCCATCAATAATTCCAGTTGATTGTATCCTTGCTACAATGTAATGCAATTGCTATTTTATTCCTTTCTGAAATAAAAAGCAGGGCTTCTAACTAGTTCATTCCAGTCCAATCCCATGCTAAGAATTTGTATTTCCACACCAGATACTGAATCACAATCCCCATCACCTTGGGATCTTGTTACAACGTGGAGACAAATTCAGTATAATGAGTGACACTATCAGGTAAGCTTTGAACTTCTACTTCCAGGTCAGCAGTTCAAACTCACCAACTGCTCTGGGGAAGAAATATGAAGTTATTTGCTCCTGCAAAGACATACAGCCCCAAGACCACTATTAAAGGTCTTTATGATTTGGAATGGATTTCGTGGTCATGGGTTTTGGATTTTTGGGATGGAAATGCAAACTAGATAGGGGAGTTGAATCAGAATGAACCAGTCCTAATTCCATGAAGGTAACTCAAAATATATGTCAATAAAAGTTGAACACACATATCAAAAATTTAATTAAACAAAAAACTCAAGCAAAAGACTTACACATTTCCAAGATCCAGGGTGTTTGGGAAATATTTTCGTACAGACAATCCCGTGTTAAAATAAGACATGTTCCTAAGTGTATCTGTAAATAGACTATATAGGTTAAGTCATAATAGGTGCATACAGTTCTTTAAGAAACCCTGGTGGTGCTGTTGGGTGTTGGATTGCCAACCACAAGATCAGTGGTTGAGTTAGTTAATTGTGCCAGCCTGGCCGATAATCACATGTGGGGCTAATTGAAAGGTGGAGGGATAAATGGGTGGTGAGCCTTGCCTTTCTGGTTCTCGGGTCTCTTGCTTTGTGATGGTCACACCAGGGTGCAGCTGCCTTAACAGTTCCCTGCTTCAGCTTGCAAGATTGACTTCTTACAAGACATCCCCAAGGAGAAGCCACATGGACCTATCCCGATGCAGCCCTGGGTGCTAGAGCAGCCGTGTGGAGACCCCTGCTAGTGCTGAGATGCTTATTCGTTCACTGACTCAGCTTTCCTCCTACAGTCGGCATCATTGCCTCTGTTTTGTGAGGTGGAGGACTCTGTGGACTGGTGTTGGGTTAATGGGTTAATGTTGGACTTGTGGGCTTGGGCAGCATTGGGTTGGGATGTTTTCGTGATGCACACTTTCTTTACATAAAACTCTCTTATACATGAGTTGCTGTGGTTTTGTTTCTCTAATGTACCTAGACTAATACAGTGGTTAAACCCACCATCTTTGCAGGAGAAAGATAAAGCTGTCTGGTCCCTTGAAGATCCACAAAGTCTCAGAAACCCTTCAGAGCATCCCGGCTGTCAGAATTGAGTCGATGACAGTAGTTTTCTTTTTGGTTTGCTTTTTTAGTGGAAAGAAAGGTCTAAAGACCTTTCAATGATTTAAAAGCTGCAAATGCAGCAAGTGCATTGATTATAATGAAGGATTCCTTGTGATTAGGAGTTGGTTCAGTCCTTTCAAAGTGAGAGGAATTTTACATAGCAGTGAAGGGCAAGTAGGAATTATCAGTATGGTGGCCATAGCCTATGTCACCACTATTTAAAAATATATTAGTAAAGTGAATGGAACTTTTATCAACTATTTGAGTAAGAAATGATACCAGTTCTGTAAATTGCTTCCAGAATATAGAAACACAGGGAATAATTTGTAACTTACTCTGAGACCAGCACACCACCATTGGTAACACTAGATAAAAACAATGTGATGATAATTGTACAACTGTTCTTGATGTTACTGAATTATTGTGTTGTACAATATGTGGATGAAGTGCTAATAAAACTATTTTAGAAATTACACAAAAGAAAAGTTATATAACAATATTTTTCATGAACATAGATGCAAAAAAATCCTAGAATATCACTTCTAATACATGAAAATAGCCACCATGACTAAATGCTATTAACTTTATGTATGCACATTGGTTTAACATTCAAAATTCAGTCAGTGTAACCCACCCACTACATTAATAGTAAAAACTGAAAAATCATACTAACATATCAGTTGATACAGGAAAAGCATATGACAAAATAAAATACCTACTCATGATTTTTAAAAACGTTAAGCAAACTAAAAATAAAAGAGAACTTCTTCAACTTGATAAAGAACACCTAAAAAAATAGTACAGTAGGCATTATATTTAATGGTGAAAAAATACGATTTTTTCATGTTTAGGAGCAAGACAAGGATGTCTTCTCTCACTATTCTTATTTAAGATTATATTAGAAGTTCTAACTCATTCAATAAAGCATAATAAGAGGAACAGGGCAAGCTATTGGGAGGTTTGAAAAGTTGTTGTTAAACACAAAAATGATAATCTGAAATGTAAACTCCCACCTAATTCACAATAAAAAAATTTAAAAACATAATGAGAAAATAAGACATACACCATATAAAATCAAACTGTCTTTGTTCACATGTGATATGATTATTTGCTCATAAAAATCCAATACCTCAACAAAAAGCTCCTGGGACTAAGAAGACAATGTAATAGAGGCCTGTCTGGTGGTGCTGTTGGGTGAGGGGTCAGACTGCTAAAGACAAAGTCCATGATTCAAACCCACCAACCACTCAGTGGGACAAAGATGAGGCTGTCTGATTGAGCAAAGACTCACAAAGCTCCAGGAACCGAGTATAGGGTGATTGTGACTCAGACATCTCTGAATGAGGTGATTGACGTAGTGGCTGCAACAAGGATCTCAAGCACAGGAATGATTGTGAGGCTGGTGCAGGCCAGGCAGTACTTCACTCTGTGGTGAATAGAGCTGCTGTGGGTTCGAACCAACTCCATGGCATCTAACAACAACATGAACCAGAGTCAACTTGAGGACAGTGGGCTTGGGATTTGGGTTTATAGCAAGCGCTCAGAATACAAGGTAAATATGCAAATGTGATGGTTTTACTACAGAAAATCAAATAATTGAAATTTGAAAAAAAACCCCACTGTTATTTATAATAGTACCCCCAGAGTAAAATTTAATTAGGGTAAATCTAAAAAACTATGTGAAAACTGCAAAACTCTGCTGGAAGAAATCAAAGAAATTCTAAATGAACCCAGAAATATTCTGTTTCTGGATTGAGAGACTCAATATCGTTAAAAGTTCAATTCTTCCTAATTTGATCAAGTTACTCGGTGAATTCCCAGTCAAAATCCCAGAAAGCTATGTCATAGGTATGTACAAACTTGCTTTCAAATAATATGGAAGGACACAACACTGAAAGTAGGCACAACAACATTAAAGAAGACCAAAGCTGGAGGATTCGTACAGCACTGCAGGGGACAGCACTGGAGACACAGTGCAGGAATTGTGCCCAGTCTGACCGCTGCTCCCCTGCCCCCTTCCCCACCTTCTACACACACACACACACACACACACACACACACACACACGGAGGAGGTAGAAAACAAAGGGAGCACAACAGAGCAGCAAGGGGAGCAAAGCAATGAAGTTCCCGAGAAATCCTGAAAATAGACTTCAGACTCTGAGGGCAGGCTTTGGCACCTCATCAGACTCAACTGGAAAACATACATGTCAGCAGACAGACCTGGGACTATTTAAAGGCCCCTTTTCTTATTCTTTTTTACATGTCTATCTATATATGACAGGCGAGATTAATGATCCCGAGATGAAAACATCTGAACCCATGGCTCCAGGGGTATAGGGGAGAGGAGGAGGTAAGGGAAAGGGAATGGGGAGTCAACAAACCTAGGGGCAAGGGAACAACAAGTGATCTAAAATTGATGGTGAGGAGAGCATAGAACACCTGCTGGGGTTTGATCAAGTGCAATGAAGCCGAGAGGAATTACTGAGAGCTGAATGAAAGTTGAACATGATAGTGGGACAGGAAGAAAGTAAAAGGAAATAGAGGAAAGAACTAGAAGACAAAAGACATTTATAGAGGTATAAATATAGGCATGTATATATGTAAATTAGTAACATATAATGATATGGATATAGCCTATGTACATATATTTATATGTTAAGTATCAAGGTAGCAGATTGACATTGAGCCTCTACTCAAGTCCTCCCTCAATGCAAGAACACTTTGTTCTGATAACCTGGAATTCTGTGATGCTAACCTTCCTGACACTGATCGCTGAAGACAAAATGGGTGCAAAAGTGTGAAGAAAGCTGATGGTGCCTGGCTATTGCTATTAAAAGATATAAAGTCTGCTGGTGGGGTTTAATCAAGTGCAATGTATCTGAGAGAAATTACTGAGAGATGGATGGAGGGTGAGCATGATAGTGGGATAGGAGGAAGGTGAAAGGAAATAGAGGAAAGAGATAAGAGGCAAAAGCTATTTATAGAGGTATAGCTATAGTCATGTATATTTGTAAATACACTAATTTATAATGAAAGGGAGAGAGGCCAATGTACATATATTTATGTGTTAAGTATTAAGATAGCAGACAGATTTTGGGCCTCTACTCAAGGCCTCTCTTAACACAAGAACACTTTGTTCTAATAACTTGGCACTCTTTTTTTCAACCAGGCACTCTGTGATACTCACCTACCTGACACGATCGCTAAAGACAAAATGGGTACATAAGTAAATGTGGTGAAGAGAGTGGATGGTGCCTGGTTATTATCAAAAGATATATCATCTGGGGTCTTAAATGCTTTTGAAGTTAAACAAGCAGTCATCTAGCAGGGAAGCAAATAAGCCCACATAGAAGAAGCACACCAGCCTGTCTGATCATGAGGTGTTGAAGGGATCAGGTATAAAAAACAAAACAAAAACCAACTATATTGATGCAAACAAGGGAGTTTGGAGTGGAGACCCAAAGCCCATATGTAGACAATTGGATATCCCCCCACAAATGAGGGATGATTCAATTAAGGTACAGTAGAGTGCTGATGAAACACACATTATTCCTCTGGTTCCTGAATGCTCTCCCCTACCCCCTACCCCCACCTCTCTCTCTCTCTCTCTCTCACACACACACACACCATGACCTAGTTCTGCCTTGCAAATTTGGCTAGACCAGAGCATGTAGACTGGTACAGGTAAGAGCTTGACCCACGGAATCCAGCACAGATAAACCCCTCAGGAACAATAATGGGAGTACCAATACCATGAGGGTAGAGGGAAGCTGGGGGGAGAAGGGGAGAAAGGGGAAACTGATCATAATGATCAACATATAACAGCCACAGAGGGATGAATAATAGAAATATAGGGGAAGCGAGCCAGTGGATGGTGTAAGATATGAAAATCACAATAATTTATAATTTAAAAAAGGTTCATGAGAGTGGGAAGGTGGAGGAGGGCAAGAAAAAAGAGGAGCTGATCCCAAGGGTTCAAGCAGAAATAAAATATTTTGAAAACAATGAGGGCAACATATGTACAAATGTGCTTGATGTATGGATTGTTAGAAGAGCTGTAAGAGTCTCAATAAAATGATTTATATATGTATAAAAGACTGTGTTGTTGTTATTCTTAAGTGTTGTTGTGTTG